GTCAACGGAGCTCTCCACCACCTCAGCACTAGACATCGGACTTCACGGGGCGCCGTATTATGTCCGTCGATTGTTTTTTTCAACCCGTCCGACTGCACTTTAATAAAGCCCGTAAACTTCACCGCACGCCACACCGACCTTGCCACACGCGCCCGCTTTCTCTCTCTCTCTCTCTTCCTCCTCTCCCTCTTTCTCACCGCGCCACTCTCCTCTTCCTCGCTGCCAGCCTACCTTTTCCAGACTGCAATCGCACTTTACCACGATACCACTGTCCATCCAAGAATGATTCTCGTTCTTTCATCCGCTCAGTTACTACTCCCTCGCAGTTGCACCAGCGGTAATCGCACTATCATCGATGCTTTTTCGATAAAGTGGGGACGGAGGATCCGCGCGATCGGTAAAACAGCGGAAGCACGTTTCGCGAACGCCAATGGCGTGTCTTTCCTTTGCGCCCCGAAAATCAGCCCTGTGCTTCGCGATCTCGCAACGGTGCTCGACTAAGGATCGAGACGAGGATGGGGAAGGGGTATTTCAAGGATTAAAATTTCTTCTTTGTCTTTTCTTTGTTTCCTCAACGAGATGTCGTTCGGTTAACGTCGCATTACGTATTTCCCGTTTGAACGGCGGTCGTTTATTGGCTCGCGAAACGGACCACTGGAATCGCGAGGCTGACGGGTGAACGGAACTGATTGGCTGCGAATGGTATGGACCGATTGCGGTCGAAACAATTTCGACCAATGCGCGAGTAGCATCGAATGTTTTCTGGCAAATGTTCTAACCTGTACGAACGCCATCTGCGATTCGCGTTTTATTATCCTCGGGCACGATCGCGTCTATTATCTATCTATTTCTCTGTCCTGTTTATCTGACGTGGCAAGATGTGTATCTGATGAATTATGCACGCGCCGCCGGCAAATTATTGGCACGCAGTTGCAGAACCATTCGGCTCGCGCCGATAACGAGCACAATGGGTCACATTGTCTTTTTATAGAGTTTTCTTATCGGGACGGCTGGGCGACAATGTTTTGTCCGTTCCATTCGCTCTGGCCGCTTTCTTTCCAATCGAATTATGCTATCTTTAGCGATGCCCGGCAACGGACTCGAAACTCTTTTCAGAGCGACCCGGACAGGCACCGAGGAATCATCGTCAACGATAGAACAACCAAATATACTTTATTGCACAGAAACGTTGGTCCACGCCGTATTTTCGGCTTGGACGACTTTAAATCTTACTCAGAGGTAGAATTTGATACGTGACCATGACCGTTGGAATTCACGCCTAAGTCTCACACACAGTTACGTTATCTATATGGAAATAATTCCTCTACTACACGCTACGCGTTCTCGAAAACGCGATATTGTTCTCTTATTACTTGAAAAACAGATACATGTTTGCCACCATCCGCAGACGGCGCTGTGTCTCGTTTTAATCATTCCAAACGAGCTTGTTTTTCTTTTACGCTGCGCAGCTGTAAATGTTCTGTCCGCCGCCTGGCGTTACACTTTGGTTTCGAAAATACCTCATGCCTAGCAAAATAAAACTGCAAAGACGTCCCGAGATAACATGAAATCGCTACTCCGCGGAGATCAACGGACAGAACTCGTATAACGATCTATAGTAAGCTAAGACAAAATCGGTTGGTCCTCGAGGTCACTCGTAATCTACTAATATAAATCCTCTGGAGCGATCAATTGAATTTCAGCGACCCGTGGCGCTACAACTTGCCTACAAGTTCCAATCTTATCGTTGCTCTATTGAAATCTCTCCATCCTGCTAGCTGATCACACCTGGACAATATTGGTAATAGTATTGGTAACAGTATCATCGACTACCGCATTCGTTTTGGGACGTTCAAAGGGGTTTGTCTTCGTCGATGGGGATCGGACTACCAAACGCCCTTTGCGAGGTTTCATCCTCTTTTTCTTTGGCGTTCTCCGAGAACCGAGACCGGACTCTTTGCTCGGATACTAGTGTGTCGAACGGCGACGAGCCGTCCGACGCCGCTGGAAACGGTGCGGTGGGAGTCTCCGATTCCGCCGTGTTCGGAGCGGAGTTCACCATCTCCAAGGGACCGCTGAGTATCGAGTCCGGAGACTCGTTGAAGTCGTCGGTCGGTCGAACCGCTTCCCCTAGGACATCGTTCTCTGAGGGTCTTCTTTCTTCAGGGACTGTCGAAGTACGACGAACATTCGTCTTCTTCTGTCTGTTATCACGCGTTCCTCCAATTAATTTTCATAGAATCACCTATGTCTATATTAACCACGGCGACACATTGTAGACAGAGGTTCGCCTATGTTTAATACAATACAAAATAACTTTTGCACGATTCTATCCAAACCTTTAGTCTACAATGCGTACAATGATTTTCAAGGTACCGTTTCTTTGAATTCACAAATTTTTAAGAGTAGGACGATCGATGCTGCTTACTGATTAAGATGTACGGGTGACATAGTCTGATCCGGACTCATTCGCACCAGGCCATTCCCATTGTCCCAGGAGTTGTGACGGCGGTGTTGACTCTTGTCTTTGTAAGTCTCAGCTATGTTATTGTGGCTGCCAACGATTCTTCGTTTGTCCAGTTCCTTCTGAATTTTCTCTGGCATGTTGCTCGTGGACTTGTACAGTCCGCGTCTGATTATGTCCTGGGGATACGCAAAGCATTCTTCGGTGTACACGCGCGCACCGGGCTAAGCCGGCAAACTTGTTACGAGCATTCCGAATATTTACGTACAGTCGACAGCGGCGTAGGCTCTACATTCGGGTTGGTCCATACGTTGGTCGCTCCGGGCATATCCTCGTTGTTGGTGTCGTTGAACGCCTCCGCGGAGTAGGTGGGCCTGGCAGGTATGATCGGTGACCGGCAACACACTCTGCAGTAATAAATCCTACGGGATTAATGAAACATGGATCGTCGCGATTGACTCGCAACGCATCGCCACTTACGAGTTCACGTCCTCCAGTTTCTTCAGCAGCCTCTCGTTCTCCCTGCAAACTAGTTCTTGGTCCCGTATCACTTGCTCCCTGGTGGCGTACAGCTCGGCATTCTCGCGGCGCAGAGCCTCGTTCTCCGTGATGTACGCGTGAATCAGCTGACTCAATTCCGGCCGCTCCATTTCGGACAGCTTGTCTAAGTCCACGACCGGCGGTGTCAATGGTACTCTCCTTTCCGCTGTAATCGTACGCGTATCAGCGGTCGGACATTGACAATTACACAAAGAACTTTGATCTTTCCGTCTATCGGACCTTTCTATCTCAACGCATTCGCTATCGCATACGATTTCCCGAAGTCTACGGCTTAATACCGCAAAGGTCGGAAGGCTATTCTCGTTGGACGTCTCGAACGCGTTATATAATCGACAGCACCGTGACTGTTAAATATTATAAACGTTCTCTCGTTTTACCCTTGGATTCGCTTCGAATGATATTCTGGTTGTCGCCGTTCAGATGAAGAGCCGCCTTCAGGTGCTCGTTCTCGGTCTGCAATGCTCCCACCTCGCGTTTCAGGCTCAAAATCAAAGCTTCCCGGGGATCCTAGACAACAGTATCCCTTTCAGAATCTTTCTACCGTTCTTTCGCTTTTACAATGAAACAGATCATCCCCGTACCATGACCACGATCGGCTTCGTTCGAATTTTCTTCACCCTGGCCGCGTACCTCAGAGTGTTCAACGTCTCACTGGCGTTGGATCGGGCCGGTGAAACGCAGGCGATCTAGAAGTTCCGTAAAGCAATAAAGCCGCGAATTACCAGGAAAAGCAATCGAGTCGAATTACGCCGGGTTTATCTACCATCAATGCAACGCCGTTGCCCGCCAAACTATCGGCGAGAAGTTTGGTCAGCTTACTGTCCCGGTATGGAATGTGGCCGCCCTTGCGTTTCCCATCGCTCAGCGAGGATATGCAGTAGCCTGCGAAGGAACCCTGACTTTGAAAGCGACCCAGCTTGTATATATTAATTTAGACGAGGTTTTAAGCAACCCGCTTTCCCCCTCGTAGCAATCGATTACTTCAGAGCCGTTGACGTCGCGAAAAAAGTTGCTGCCCTTTCGGCTCGCCGAGCGAACGATCGCGACCGATCGATCTCTACGGTATGCCTGCATAATTGACGCAGCGAAGTTACCGCGAAGCAGCAACAGTATCGGTGATTCAATTAGTAGCGCGCGGTCTACATTGGGAGAATGTTACACACACCGGTCCCACGATTATAATAATTTCACGAGATCCCCTTGTGTACATACCCAGAACCATTAGGCTTTTGTTGATGTTGTTCGCTTCCTCCAAGGTCTTTCCCTCGCTCTGCGTCTTCTTCGTCATCTCGCTGCCAGCCAGGTCGACGAAATTGATTTTCCCCTGCCTCGAGATGAACACGCTGTTGTCCATCTGCCGACACGCGCACTCGTGACTTAATTTCCGCCGCCCTTCGACACCGGGAAGCGGGCTAATTCGGTTTACTCACTTGTTGCTCAGACGTAATACTAACGGTAAGGATGCTGTGGCTTCTGCTGGAGTGCTCGTTCATATTGTGCGCGCCGACGGATCTGTTCCTCATACCTGAACCGAGAGAGTCGCCCTTGTAAGTACATTTCGCGCGGCGCGTTCGAGACGGGGAGGGTCGTTCAGGGGGACAATGATCGGAAACGAATCTACTGCGCACAATGTTGCTTCTACCCCACCGGTGATGTAATGTTGCGTGCACGGGATCGATTGGGAACGGTTAAAGCCTGTCGGTTAAAGAGGCGAAAGGTGACGATCGATAGAATCGGGCTACCTTCTTCGAGAACCGCGAGAAGGTCGTCAAGCTCCTCGCACTCGACGGTGAAAAGATTCTCGACGAAGAAGCCTCGCGTCTTTTTGCTCCACCGGACCATCAGGGGTTTCCTCGACGTGCCGGGATTCAACAGATCTATTACCTGCGGACAGAAGAACGGTCCCGTGAGACGGCCGATCGCGGCTCGCTCTCGATCGGCGGCGCTCACCTTCTCGTTGTAGATCTCCAGGAAGGAGGCTCTCAGAACGAAGTTGCACTGTTCCCGTTCCTGCAGGAGCTTGAATAGGTAGACGAAGGACCGGAAGACCAGGCCGTTATCCTCCGAGTAGGAATTTATCCTTTCCAACTGAAATATGGCGGCACGTTGATCGATGATCGTACGGTGTTTCAGTTTACTATCGAAGCTCACGTTCCAGATATTCGATTTGAGAAACTAACTTTACTAACGAACAATCGGAATACGAGTAAAATTGTTTGGAAAGGTTACATGGGAAGAATCCTAGCTGCCCCGTAAGTCGACAATCCTGATTGTTTTACTGTAAACGAAAACTTCGTGGAACGTTATTGAAATAACGAGGAAAACGAGCACAGGTTATGTCATTATCTTATCTGCACACACCGATCAGCATTAACCTTTCTGTTACTACCATATTGGCCTTCAAAGTGCACAACTGTTTTTCATCTATTATTCGCTGCTCGCTGATTGTTCGGATACACTTTTGGAAAACGTTTTGTCTTCGATTAAAGGAAACCTTCGTGTTTCAGAGGTAGAAATTAGTAGAAACGAGGGGTTGGAAAGTATTCCTGCGATTGTGTTCGGCTTACCATTCCCGGAGGTCCTGTAAGGGTGTGAGTTTTCCCACTTCCTGTCTGCCCGTAGCAGAACGCTGTACAGCTGAACCCTTCCACCGCCATTTCAATGAGCTTCTTGATACCGGAGAATTGCAGGATGTCCTCTTGAGAGGCCGTGGGCTCGAAGACGACGTTGTATGAAAATAATTTACCCTTCTTGTCTCCGCTGCTCGGAGATCCTTCGCACTGCGGACGATAGAAATTGATGACTCTTAATTAGAACTTACCCAGAGGTCAATCAAACCAGAGGAAACCAAAAAGGCTGTCTTAAATCATCTCTAACTTGGTGCAGATTTCTCACCGAACGAATAATTCTAACAGCACCTTATCAGTGATTTTATCAGCGTTCACTAAGACAATTGAAATCAATCGACTCACGTATATCTGTCCATCTCCGGGAAACTGCACCGCCATATGATCTCCCGCTTTAACTTCTTTACTGCTGAGTGGACGGACTCTAAAAGAAGAAACTCAATGTTTCGTATTCGTGCTATTAACACTAGAACTACCAAGCAAGTCAAAATGATCGATTCCTGACTTCTTTTGCCATTATTGAAAGGGTACAGTTCTTTGAGAGACGATTAAACGAACTGTTCCGATAATATCTAAACTGCAATGTAAATGAATTGAAATCTTAATGGGCGCAAGTGGTCGGTAGTTCTAGCGTTAAATGGAATGATCGATCGTTTCATCACCTGACGACGACATTTATATTATTCTCTGGAAGCAAGTGTTTCGTGGCTATCTGCCTCCTGTCGCCGTCCACCAGCTTCTCGATGCTGCCGGTTCTAGAAACAGAAACAACAGAATGCAACGATTCCCGCGATCCCGAGCGACAAAGGGACACTAACACTTTTCTGTAAAGTTCCAGCATTCTTCTCCAGCGCAACCGACCGTTTCGAATGGAATAACCGTTCGCTCGTTTCGTGAGTGACCCTCGAACGTAGGGGCTCAATAATTTAGAGGGTTCAATCAATCGGACCGGCCTGCGGAAACTCGCGTGATTGATCGGGCTCATTTATGATTTCATTTTCTCTTCAAGCAGCGCTTATCGTGCCGCGGAAAAATCGTTGCAACCTCAGCCAATGATTCATCGGAGTCCGATTACCTAGCCCGTTAAAGTTCTACAGAGCTTTTATACTAGTTAGGCACTCCTCTGAACGATGAAAAATAACATTTCATTGGAAATTCGATTTCTAAACCCTTCGGAAATTTGAAATGAATCTCACCACAGCTAATGAATAATTCATCTTTCAACCTCAAAGAAGAATTACTGGGAAGAATTATTCTGGGAAGTCAAGTGATACTTAAGTTCAAGCAAGGTTTAATCTTGAAGCATTTCAGCGGTGCTCCAGAATTACCCCATTAGACCTGATCTTTATACAAAATAATGTTCATCTGTGCACCACCATTCATGCACCATCAGTAACGACGTTATTTCGTACAAAATAGTACACTGTTTTTCAAATACAAACAGGTTCAAAGGTTGCCTGTCACAGTCTCAATATTTCGTCAGATACCGAAGGGGTTAAACTCCACGTTACATCGAGGAACCTAAATTCCCGTTCACTCCGTAACGCAAATGCTAGGTAGACAGACGTTCAAAGCACGCAGTTGCAGGCGTGTATCATTATCAACGCGGGCTTCTAATTTCAATAATTTCCTCGTTAGCGACCAATTACTCGTCCACCGTGGTGCAGCGTGCACGGCGCACGTGTCCGCGTTGTCACCCCTTGAAACGCGAGGGGTCAATGTCGGTTGTTGCACTTTGGCGAACGCCGGAAGCAGGAACATCGCGATCAACTATTTCCCTATAGCGTACCGGTGACGTACGGAGCAACCGTGCGCCTTGTTCACGCAGAGCGCGAACGCTCGCGATCAATTTCTTGGTCGTTGCGTGTAAATAGATAGCTGCGACAGTGAATGCTCGGTTGTTGCCGAGTGACAGGGGAAACCGTCGTCGCCAGCGGAAACAACGATTACGTTAATCTTTGCACTCGAAGACCTTTTTCCGTTCGTATTACTAATTTGCCAGCTCGATGGAAGGAAAAAGCACCAGTAATTGACTACTTAAGAAACATTTTCTGCGCGAATAGTAGTACACGCTTGCAGTTCATTAAATATGGAGACTCTATGCGTGGAAATGGTATTTGAACCTCGTACATTCTGTAACGAAGTGAACTTCTTCGAAATAGATCTATTATCAAAACTAATTAATCATCGATAGGGTTGTAATATGCTTAATGACCCAATTTAAAGCACATTGTTGCAACAACATTATTTTCCACGGCTGGAAGTTGTTTTCTCGTCTTCGGCGTCACGGTTTTCCTTGAACCTCGAAACGCGATATCGCAATAAAACGAAATGAATTCCACTCCGTCATGATCTCTGTCACGCGAGTTCACCGGGAAAACAATAAACGTTCGCGAATATCGGTCGAAACGTTCGTAATAATTTAATAATTGAAATGACTCGCGCCGGGGAAATTTCCTACCGCGAAGGGCACACGATTTCGGAATTAGATTATCGCCCCGTTAGCCCGAAATCGATTCCCGGAACAACAATTTGCTTTATTGACTATCCACCTGAGTCACCTGTCACCGTAAAAATGTCCTGTTTGTCATGCCTTGTAATTATCCTTGCGACACATTGCTCTGAGAAGCGTCGACCTTCTTCGTACGAGCGCGTGCCTCGTGCCTCGTGCCTCGTGCCTCGATACGATACAACCCCCAGTAACGCCATTAAAATATTATTAAAAAATAAGTATTCTAAAATAGTATCCTTATTGAAAAGCGAGACTTTTAAATAGTTTTATTATTCAAAAGCGAGATTCTTCGTGAGAAAGTAATACAGTTACAGAAAGAAGTTGGGCCACCATCGAAAAAGGGAATTTAACCCCTTGCTCTATGATTTCATTCACAATTATGCCTGGCGGAACTACTTTATCGTGAATAATTTAACAGGAAAAGCAAAGAACTTGATGCTCATTCTGTCTACGTTTACCGTGAAGCTTAGAGATCGATAATAGACAAGTAATATCTCGTTTATACGAAAAGTGAGTAACATTTAGCTTTAGAAAATCCGTTTGAAAATTTTCGTCACGAGACTCGACGTTGTAGGAGTTCGCGCAAGGTTCGCGAACGTGAAATCCCTATAACGCGGAATCTTTTAATTTTATTCTACTGTAATTCGGCTGGTAATTGGTATTGGGATGGCGACGGATAAAATCCTGCGACATTGTTATATATGATAATAAGCTACGTGTCGACGCGGCAGGGTGGCGATTCATCGACGCGCCCCGACGTTCCTGCGCACGCCATTCCTTTATTAAGCCCCTTTTACATTCGTTACAACGTAACAACCCCCGTTACCTTCGCTTTCCCTTGTTTTCGCAATTACGAGTGCTGATTTATTCATCGAGAGTCTTAAACCGTGGGACTCCCTTAGGAACACGCTCGAACCTTTGATTTCAGGGTACCGGTCCTAATTAGGATACAGTCGAATGTAAAATATAATAATTCTCGCGGCAAACTGCAAGCGACACTTGACAATCTTCCATTTCAATCGAAAAACGGAAAAGTAATTACATAATCCAGCAGAAATCGAGATCGAGAGATTCCCCGAGGCTATCAGCTATCAGAAAATACATAACGTACAGCACTTCTTCCGTTTACGTTATTACTCCCGTAAGTTCGTGCCATTTATTCTTCTACCATAGGAAACTGCTTCTGGCATTAACACGCCACTTCTAGAACGATCTAATATCAACCCTTTGCACTCGAGAGGTGACTCACTCGCCTCGACTCGATAGAACTTATAAAATCTTATACATGTGTATATCATTCAATTTTGTACAATGTAACACATGAAATCTAGAAACAAGCTACCTTTCTTATTAATTTATGTTTCCCATCGCTTAGTTCCAAAGGATGTCTATACCATCGGGAAGTGACATCCACAGAAAAACTTGCGAATGATTTCCTATAATTTCATATTGCAGCCTCGTCTACTTAAGGTCTCGTCTAGAACCTCAGTATCAGACCGGAACCTTCCGTACCCTTCCACGTATCTGTTCGTTCCATAAAAAAAAAACGGGATTTCAGGTCCGCCGAAGTCTCGCAGGCGCGAGCAGCTAAAGCGTTAAGATGGAGCCGGGCACGCGAAGAGGAGGAGAACACGATCGCGTGCGTTAAACGGCAGAAACCGTCTACCCCACGTGTCCGAACGTCGAGATCTCTTTACACAATACACGTTACCGATCGCCGCGATATTGACCGACAGAACAGAGACAGCCCAGGCAAGGTCCCGCAATCGATACGCGGCATCGAAATATGTCGCAACCGCGACGTATGTGTCTATCAACGTCCGCGCGCCTCGCGTCCACCCCCACGCGGGGAGGAAACGGCCGAGTCCGCGCGGCCGTCCCCGGAAAATGGAAACCGAAGCGTTTAGAGTCCGCTCGAGTCATCTTCGGCGAATCGCGCGGAAGCTATCGATGGCCTGGATCTCGCAGCTGTTCCGCGCGTTCGAACGATTCCCCTTCGTTCGCTGTCTGCTCTTCTTCGTACACTGTTTTCGACTTTGACGTTGTCTCTCCTGTATCGGCCTCATGAAAAACTGCTCAGGTTTTCTCGCACGCGAACGAAAACATTTTCTTGCAAACGAACGATGTTTGGTTTCGAATTATAGGATGCAAAGGACACTTCTTTCCTCGCTTTTACTTTGTTGCGGTTTGGTCGGCGAACCGTTGGAACTACGCTTCGCTTTTTATGAAAACCGGATCTTCCGCGTCAGTTCAATAGTTTGAAAGTTACTTTTCTATCTTCTAGTTTGGAAGTTTCTTTTCTATTTTCTACATTAAAACTTTCTTTTGCGGTTTCTCCTTGGGATCGTTCAAATGTTAAAAGTTGAAGCTCTTCAACTTGTCGGAAGTAATGTTTCCTTACACTGGCAGTTCTTGTTTATGTAGTGCAATGCGTAGCAATTTTCCAACGTTTTGAGTAATGACATTAAGATTGCGATACTAAGGAGAATTTTCGTTGACGGTATAGAGTCTTTAATTTTTTTCTGTCGAGTTACTTACTGGATAATTCGAGGAATATAGTCTGCGATACTTTCTGCTGATAATAGATAAGCTTTTTCGGTGTTTCTTTCTTTCATAAATACCGTCGGCAATAAAATTAATATTTTAATATCGAGCTGTTAATGGAAATAGAAAGGCAAGAAAGCTGTGCAAGATACGCGACAATAAAGAGCAAGATGAATGACAATAAAGACTGATTAAATCGCCAGAGTGTTTAATTGAGAATGGCTAATCGATAAGCAACATTGACCGCTCAATATTCTAGAATAAATTCGGTTCGCTTTGATATTTTCTGTGTTTTTTGCGGCAGATAAGACGCCGCTAACAAGTCGAACCGGTTTTTATTATCCGCAGATTAATATTATCGCGCGAGGGAATAGCTCGATAAGAGTTGATAAAAGCCGCAGACGACGATGTCACCGTATTACACTGGTCATACTCGCAATGTTCGCGAGCCGATCGATAGTAAGACATCGCAAGAATGTTGACGCACAATCTACATATTTCGGCGAGGGGATGAGCGCAATTGATTATTCCAGACGCGGTGTTGCTTTTCTTGCCGCTGCAGAAATATTTAGATGGATCGATAGCATCCTTGCGAATGTCTGATCGCACTCTTCATTAGCGCAAAATGGCGGTCGCAATATTGATATTCCGTTAGACGAGCGCAACACGAAAAATAAAATGAAATATTGAACGAGCCGATAACTTCGGCTTTCAGGATAATTTACGATACTCGATATCAGTCGGAACAATTTGCATAGTTTCGCAACCGGATAGAGACAATCGTAGGCATAAATTATTTCGCAAAAATTCTAGGGAACAATGCGGAAGCGGAATGCTGTTGTCATTATTCGAATCGAAGGAGAAATGTTTCTTTGATTCTAGCAATGGTAATAGAATCAAGGAGATATCCCTGTGCTCTTGGTAATGATAATAATGGTAATGATTCTAGCATTCGCAAAATAATGATTAACGCGAGAATCATTGAAAATCGAGGAACAACACTCACTCGCTTCCCCTGGACTGCAACAGGCTGCTCTTAACGACCCTCTTAACGTTGCTACCGTTTCTGCCGGGACTGTTCCCCCTGGACAGATTCGTTTCCGATGGACTATTGCCGCGCGACACGCGGCTCCTTTTCTTATCCTTCTTCGCATTTTCTTTTTGGGGACTCTCGCCTCGAGAGGGCGACGGATTTTTCACAAGCACCATTCGTCAACCTTGAAAAACGAAAGCATACGAAAAATTCAACGGTAGTTTCACTGCTCCCCGGTCCCGCGGCGCGCCGTGTGATCCGTGCCGTTCCCATAGCATGCTTTCATGGCAAACGCGTATTATCGGGAACAATTAGATCTATACGAGATCGACGCGGGACGTAAATTTTCCGGACGGCACAATAGTGAAAGCCTTTGAGCGCTCCCCGGCGTACGCGCAAATTTATACAATACGGATCGGTTAATTACCCGCGTTTGCTTACGGGATCAGGTCTCCGGCGGACGATAATCACGGGCCGCCCTAATTGAAGCGAAAGTTTCGCGAGCCGACTAATTGCGATTCCATAGAAATCCACGCTCGTCGTCGATGAAGGTGTCACGCGCGAGGAACAAAGGCGGGATCAACGAGATCGATTTCGTGAAAAAACGAAGAAAACAAGAAAACAGAGCGGTGCCATCTCGTTCCCCTGCGATCGTCCGGAACGCGTCGCGACGTAACCGTCGACCATCCCGGTGACTTTAACAAAGACATCGAACCGCTCCGACCAGAATCCCGACGACTACTTCCTACGACAGTGTTCCCTCAAACCAGAATTCGCTGGTACAGATCGCAGGACACGGCAGCTCCGCGAGTTCGTTCCGGTCAGTTCACATTGCACCTTTCATTTTACACCTTTCCTTCTTACAATTAACGCGAACGCGGCGGTCCGCCGTGATTTTGAAAGTGAAAGCCAATAAGATCGGCAGTTAAATCGTTCCACGCGAGACGCGGCGTTTCGAGAAAAAAAAAATGCTCCGGGGCCGGCGTTTTTTCCGTCGACAAACGGGCCAAGGAACTAATGGGCGAGTAAACGCGGTTTTTGCGCGAATCGGTTAGCGCGATACGTTTATCTTTTACTTTCTAATCGGCCATTTCCTCGGAGACCGGAACAATTTTCGAGGGAATTATAGAAACAAGGAAACGCCGAGGCACGATCCCGACGGTCGTTAAAGATTTACGGGCCGTTTTACGGGCCGATCTACGGGAGTCACCACTTACATTCGAAATTTCATGGATCGTTCAAAAGTATCCCATCACTCGATCGCCACGGCTCGTGCGCCCGCCGATCAACCCTCCGTTGCGGCCGGTCACGCTCGCTTCTTTCTCTCGGATCGGTACTCTACCGGACCGTGTTCCGCGATGGCCGGTCCCGAATCGATTCGCCTCGACCGACGATGTTCGGACCCGAGTCGAATAGCGGAAACGGGCTCGTGGCAATAGCAAGAACAGACGGCACGCTACTGACACTTCAGGGTGGTGGTTTCGAGGGCGGCGGTTTTTCCTATAGTCGGCGTTCGCCGCCGATCGAAACGGTGGTGTCTAACGTTGTACACGTCCGTCCGGTGGCCGTTCGTCTCTGTCCCACCCCATCGCCGCCGCACGTGGACGCGGGGCTTGCGTCAGGCTGAACTTGACACGTCGCGTTCGAGGTGCACGATCGGACTTGTGCGGTGATCAATGGGACGACAACGTTTCGCCGGAACTTCCGCGAGGATCCTACGACAGGATGAACTTCGGTAAACCGACCGAGATGCGCCGCTGAACGTGGAACGGCATAAGCTTCTTAATTATTGACGAGGATTCGATCGAAAGATTCATATTCGGCCCAGACCTTGAGGAACTTTCCGTGACCGTGAAACGAGAAGTCGCCGCGAAAATTCCAGCGGTCTCGAGGGAGCCCCGCGACGGCGACGTAATTAATTTCTCATCGGATGATTCCTACGTTGCTGGCCTTTGATCGAGGAGAGACGAGGCTCTCCGGCGGGTGCAGGGCTGAAACGAGTCGAGCCGCGCGGAGCCTTTCGGCTCGAAAGTTACGGACGGATCCCCGCGGAAATGACCGGCTATAAATACACGCGGTGTCGGCCGCTGTAAACTTTATTGCGGCTCGTTTTCCGTTGCGGCACGGCCGCCGAAGAAAACGCGCTCGCCCGCGAAAAATTCCACGCCGCGTCGTATTTGCGGCACAGTATTTTTGCGCCGGCGGTGTCTATTCTGGGCGACACGATTCGATCTTCTCCGCTGACTTGGTCGGGCTGATGCAGCCGGGCTGTTATCCTCTTGGGCGGGGTTCCCTCCTCGGTTATCGCTCGTTTGTCGCTCCGATCTACAGCAGACCAGGGGGGAGTCGTAGTCGGCCGTCGAGATCGGATCTGTTTTTCGAATGCACTTGGCTCAGACTGGGACTGGGACTGATCGAGGAACGAGGGCCCGATTGACGGCCCCGCGACTTTGATCAGTAGTCACGGCTCGAGCGTTGTCTGGCTAACGGTTACTAAACTACGGTAGCGGTACTTGTCGTAAGACAAGATGGAGTGGGCGTGGAATAGTAATCGTGCCGCTCTTTAAGCTCGCGTGTTAGAACGGGAACGTTTTATAGAATCGTGTAATAAATTGCACGGCGAATTAGCGGACGAGCATTCGACGAAAAAATTGCTAAACGCCGAGGTGCTTCTTCGCAGGATTCCCGGGCGGCCGCAGTCGTCGCGGGATTAACCGTGGAGAGACCGGATGTTCTTCTTGCCGCGGCGGGATCCTCGGGCCTCGTCGGCACGACGGTTCCGTGAAAGCTGGGAATTACTCGACGCCTTCGTGATATCGGTAAGCGGCGGCGCGCCGGTTAGAAACGGTCCCCGCCCTTCTGGCATCGACGAATTACCTTCGATCAATCCCTGACGTCGCAGAAAGAAATCCAGCCCGCAAATATCTGGGAATTAGAGTGCTCCATTATTCAAACAGCCCTCATAAATTAAACACGGTTACTTTATCGACCGCGATGCTACATTATTTACACGGCACACGGAAAATAACGGAGTCGCTTTAACGATATATACCTGTCGCGTCATTTTTACTGATTGAGTTGATAATAAATGAAAAGGGACAGAGCTAGGAGAGAGAGAGAGAGAGAAGGGCAGAGATGCATTAGTTGACGATACGAATTATTTACGCTGTAACAGGGGTATACCTCGGAGCCGTAGGTTATTCCAGGGCGAAAGTGGCATTTATCGTATTTCGTGCCAACTTGCTCGGCTGACATTAAGCCGTGTGTAGACGATGCAGCCTGCCCATGCAGCCTTAATACCGGTTTAGCGCCAGGGGTCGTGTTGCAAGTCGCGTACTTTTCATAAATAAATGATGCTCGAGGAAGGTAACCGTGACGTAATGAAGATTTGCTTCGGTTTGGCGCGGGTTAGAGGCTTTCAGGTTCGCTCGGTCTCTAGAAAGCAGACCTGGTCGAATTTCCAGGAATCGGCTATGCAATCGCAGAACGGGTACGTAGGTTCGCCATTGCTATCGCGCGTTTTGACATTAAAGCGGGCCGTTTAACGTCGACGCTACTCGCAGCTGAAATAATTGATGAAATATTAGTCGATAAGAAATGGAAGCGACGCGATCCGATATTTATGATGACATATATAAATGCATTAATCGCGGCGCATCGATTATACAGTTTCGTACCGGGTATATATTCCCCCCGCGGAATTGAGTATAAGTAAATTACTGTACATAAGGGACGCAGGAAGACTGCACATTGTGGCTTCCTAATGTGAAGTTACAGTTTTCCGGTCGATTACCGCAACCGGCGTCGTTAAAAGGCGTCTGCAGTTCTTCGAACTTTGCGATGCTGCAGCCTTCTTATCTAAACACTCATCGGCTTAGTGGTTTCCTGGGAAACCTTCAACATTCGAAGTTTGATTTTTTCGGGAAGATCCCTCGGCGATTTAAGATTGATCGAATTCTTGCAACGATTCCAAGGGTTCAATGAATCTACCGAAGAACAAAGTTGGGTATCCTGGTGCTATGCAAGAAGCACATTTAGATCATTACGATGAAACGTTTTATTCGATGCAAGAAGACGCACACTGGTGTACCTTTCATCCTGATCTACGAAACGTTTCCTTTCTGCGCTCCACGAGATCTCATAGGTTTCTTTTCCCTTGTTCGCTTGATACCGATTGGGCAATTTACAGTAATTATAAAAATCGTTCGTGTGCAACGACTCCCGTGACAGCAGCAATTTCATGGATTACGCACGACTTCAACCTGTGAAATTTATAAGAATATGTAGCCTCAGAATCAACAGTGTAGCAATACCATTCTCTCCGGCTCGTGGTGTCGAAACTTTTCCGACAAATTGACTTACGTCGCGAGAACCAATAAACATAATCACCCGCATACGCAACTTCCTACGTGCTTCGAGTACAAACGTTTCCATAAACGGAAATCGAAGTGCCTGTTGAAGAAAGGTGTACTTCTTAACTCGCAACGAATTATTACTGCTAGTAAACAATACGATTACACGTGTAGCATTAAGGGACACGTCCATTACAACTAGCGATAAACAAAAATCATTTCACGGATCCCCAGAATTCAAGGGAATCAGTAGGAATACTCTCGTCTATCGCAGTGTACCATGAAAAGCGTACACCGAAGGTGAACCCTCGGTGCACTTGCAGGCAATTAAAAATTCATTGAAATGTTAATTTATTCTGCAAACCGATACTAGTCCCTCGGAGAAGGCCTCCGTCGACACGTGTCTAATTTCGCCAGGATTTCGACACGGCGGACCTGAAAATCGTTCGCGTCAACGCCATCTGTGGCGGCGCGTGCTCGCGGGAACAATGGTGGTCAGCGGGTTCCCCGAGATTTTGAAATTCCCGAAAAAGATGGTTTCTCCCGTGGCCGGCCGTTGATGCACGGCCGTTCTACGGTCTCGTGCGCGCACAACGAAAACGGGCAGCCTCGCCGTGTATACGTGCACGTAAACACGGCGGGTCGCACACAGTGGCGAGAGACAGACGTAGGGAATGGGCCGTTTCTCCGTCTCTGTCACGCCATTGGACGCCTTCCTCGTCTCCTCCACCACCTTCTTTCTACGGCACAGAGAGTTCCTTTAAGCCGGCAGTTTCGTGTATTACACCGTGGCGTGTGCACAGAAGACCACGTAGGTTTACGCTCGCGAGGTGAACACAAAAGGCGGGCCCAGCGAGACCGTCGAACGGGAACGAGTTCTCCAGGTGTCATCCAGGTGTACGCCGATCGGTCGACTGTCCTCGTGCATGGCCGCCCGGCTCTACCTGATAAACAAAAAGAGCGCAAGTTAACACGAGGAATCGTTTTAAAACGCGTCAGTCCAGCGGGCCTGGCGTAGCGGAGGTCTTTGTCTCCCGGTGCTCGCCGGTCGTGTGATCGCGGAGACTGTGATGTGACGGGATCCGCGGGTGCAACGAGTAGTGTCACGTTCTGCCAGGTGATCCTGTCGACCGTAAGTTCTTTCCTTTGTTTATTATGATGGGACGTTGGAATCGTCACGTGACCGAGGAGACTCGGCCAGTTGATTTCCTTAGGTATCCCTTTAACAAATTTAACGCGTTTAATGCCGCACGATTTTATAGAGAAAAATACGCAAAGTAAAAGAGATATAATATTAAATCATTGAATTGCGTTATTATTATTGCATGTTCATCTAGCTGAACGTCACATTAGCTAGTGTTATTTGCAATGTACAAACCTTTTCAAATAATCATAGTTTAACTGAATGAACTATTCAACGTGTTAATATAGAAGATTTCAATTTAAAAGTCATTTTATTAGGGCAAATAATGTTGTGTAATAAGAGACAACTGACCGTTGATGGAAATGTTGAAAAGGGTTGCTCGGGCAGTCAGCTTCTCTCATTGAGCTACAAGCAGAAAGATTCGTAGATCGGTTAGATCAGTGCTCGTCGTGCACATAATTGTTAGTTTACGAGACACTTACTTGTTCGGTAAATGAAATGTGTCCCGCGTGGACGAATGTTGACATAACGTTAAGTCGAACGCTTTACGTCCTGCCGTTTCTAATTTGAAATACAGACAATGCGAGTGGCGACACGAGCCGCGGTTTATGCCATTGACATCTAGACGTCAGTCACCGAAACAAAATCGCGAAAATCGCGTGCTTCTATTACCGGACACGCCATGAGGTGGACCATTACGCTCGGAACACCTTTTTCCTGTAAATCATCCGGCCGAGCTCGTTCTCCACCGTAATTTATCTTGGAATATGCCTCCGCGACATTACCGAGACAACTGTGCCGTGACGTATAATGATTTCGCTCGTGAAAACAGTCCGACACACTCGCCGCTGACGTTTTTTATGGAGGCTATTTAGGGAGCCCGCATTTTTGAGGTTATTCCCGGCGTCCATATTTATTTTTTCCGAAATGCACAGTATTTCGCGGCGGAGTCTCGAACTCGATCGGTTACAGCTCGTAGCTTCTGTAACGGTTCCATGGCGGAGGCGTTTAAATATTGATTTATATTTAGACCACGATCTGCAGCTGTAGGAAACGCTAGAAGATGCTAAGGAGACGCCGCTAAATGATAATTCCAGTATGTATATTTTTACGTTAATCTCTACGAAGTTGTACCGAGGCAGGGACGTTATTCGTACGGGTAAATATGATTACGAATTAATTACGTACTCTCTAACTTCGACGTGGAATATCGTCGTTTGTTTCTCGCGCCATCCGATCCGTTTATTGGCTGGTACCCTCTCGACTCTTAGTTTTCCAATGTTTCGTACACAACGGGCTATAATCGACTACGAGCAACTGGAAGTTCGGTAAAAGGGTCAGGCGAGTCAATTAAAACGATGTTCGAAGAACTAGTTTAATTGTTTCGATCGACGCATGGTTAACGATTTAACTGCTTTAATAAAGATGTCATTGGTCCGGCAAGGTCATTTTTCAACCGCCTTTGTAGTACAGTCCCAATGGCGGGAATCGCCACGAGGAGTTGTGAAAGTATTCAAACATAAAACCGAAGAACAATTGCCGATTTCGTCATTGAAAAAAACAACTTGGGTATTCCGACATACCTTGTAACTTTCCAGCTATTACCGCTTGTTTATCGCCGATGCATGTATGTGCATGTTATTCTTAAAAGAAGAATATCATAAATAGTAATAAATTAACCTGAAGGATACCGCACGAATTGTCATAATTATTCACTTTCCTTCTAGAGAAACTGAAAATTTAACACTGCAACTGCCGTGCCAGTCAGACTGGTTTTCGATTCTTTTTTCTTTAACAATTGTTGATATCTTCAAAGCATCGAATGTTCGAAAAGATTTTGAAAATGAATAGTTTCACTTGAGCACTATAACGAATGTCTGAAGGAACTGGGAATAATCTATTGTTACAATTTTTCTATGAATTACATATTAATCGTATTAAATACCAGGTAGTTGTAGGGTTAAGAAAAATGTAGGTGGCCGTTACAGGGATCTTCATAGGTGCCTACTGGATCGAGAATCGGTCGATACGATCGGCTATCGATACGCCTGCCCGTTACGATCGACGTTGACGTCAAACTATTGTACCCGTTGCGATAATACTTATCGAATCTCGACAAGTCAAATTTCTTCGGTAAACGACTAGTATCGATGGGCTGTTTGAAATTCGATGAATCATTGGATCCAGTATTTCTCAACTTTGCTTCCCTTCGTTTTGATCCCTTGCTTTGAAACATAAAAAAAACAACTACAAACATTCCTTTCGTCCAACTATAGATCATCCATTGACGTATCCTTGACGCCAGCGATTCTCAACCTTCTATCTTAATCCCACCGTAACACGTTGAAGGTCATGGGGGTCACCGGTGACCCCCAACCAAATTGAATTATTATAGTTCGTTCGATGAAATGTTTATTTGAAAATATTTGGAAATATTTGGAAATATTTGGAAATATTTTATATAAATTATAATTTCACCGCGTCGAATCAAATGGCGACCTAGAGTCAGCTTCCGAGCGCAAAGGGTTAATATCATATGTCTTCCATTTTGTATACTTTGCCGTCTTTTGTATAGTCGCGCGACATTCAACGTGATGACCTTCGATCGTTCCACGCAAAAGTTACGAGAGAAACGAGACACAGTTCCTTTTGTGACGAAAAACAGTGGAAAGATCCATGTCGGTCGCGACGAGCGGTTAATAAAAAGATTTCGAGATATCCTCGCGAGTTCGTGGAACCCGCGAGCGAGCTATCTTCCTAGGAAACTGCGGAGAAAGAATCGGTGGGGAAAAAAAAGGCGGCGCATTGTTCCTCTGCCGGATCGCGTTTATCCTATAACATGAAACCCGACTTCCACGTTTTTAGCTCGGTTCGAGCGAGTAGAGCGAGCGGAGATTATGGGTCATTGTTTAACCCAAGATTCTTGACCTCGAAACGCGTGTAACTATTTCGAACACGTGGGAGGTACGAACGGGGGAGGATAAGCTAACGCTCCGCGAGCTTCGTAGCGTTTGAACCCCTATGCGGAAGGGTGAGAATCTTGTTACTACAGATTCATAGTTGTTTACCTATCATTCTTGCAAATCTTCCGAAGGATATCGCGATTAGAATGATTGCAGCAATTGCATCCTGGACCACTGCTAGCTGGACCCAATCGGAATGTTTAGCTACCTTTGAGCTTTCACATTTATTTTCAATTAGAAGTTTGAGCATCAAGATTAAGTGACACCTAGATGACAAGCACTCGGGTTTTGCCTTTCCCAACGATATTTCCCTACACAGTCTTGTACCAGTGATTTGAGGAAACGGTGCCATCTCCGCGCGACCAGTTCAAGGTTGAAACCCTTGCAGTTCTTCGAAAGCGGGACGCTTACCCAGAAAGAAACGCTTCACCTTCGGCACGGCGACCTCTTGTTGAAAATCTGTGTCTACAGCCTGGTCAGCCGTGGCACGATAAGACAATTAAACGCGATGAGTCACGATAGAGGCTGCGCTGTCCTTTTTCCCTCTGTTTTTTATGGGGCAACATACTCGGCCAAGTCTATTACTCATGTCTGGACGTGCCTTTTCCTTCAGCCAACTTGTTCCAGCGAGCAATGCGTACCATGCCGCTGCTCAACACCTTATCGACGCGGCCATTGGCACTGATTTATTAACAGCGTAGCTGATCGTCTTTTTCTGGAGACGCTCGTTGAACGCGATTCTCATCCGGCGACCGTTCGCGCTGCAGCTCATCCTGCCGAAGGCTCTCGGAAAGTTCCACGTGTCTCCATTCGGGATCTACAACCTTTAACCCTCTATATTTCGAAGAATCTTCGTCCAAAGGGTTAATAACGTCACGAGTCGATTCCCGAAGGGTCTATACTGGAGCAAACACCTGCGATCCAGCGATCTGTAACAGAAGATCCTCGGCTTGACGCAACAAGGTGTCATCCGTCGACGAGGTGTCGAGTTCCCGCTACTTAAGTAACCCGAAGGCCGCGCCCACGTGAAACGTTCTTAAAATTAGAAAAATCCGTCGTCGCGGGGGCGTCCGGACGAAATATTTTCGCAATCTCGAGCAGCGAGCTGTTTGGAAAACAGGAAGTCGAGGCTCTCGGGGTATTTATCGCGGTGTGTCGACACGAATTTCGTCACTGGCCGGAGTCACGTGTACAGGGGACAGCCTATTGATGCGTTACTAGTAACGGAGAAACTCCGGAGCCTCTTTCAATTTGTTTCCGAAGCGTTGTTTACTCGGACCGAGGACTATCGCCTTCGGTTCGACTAGTCTGTCTAGCCTTTGTATTTACCTTCCCAGTCATTGTCATTCCGAATCCGTCGAGCGGCGCGTCTCTGAAATATTAACCTTGTGCAGTCGACAGGTGACTCTCGGCGACTTGACTCGATACGGGAAAATTCGAAAGTCTTATTATATCATTAAGCTTCGCAGAATGCATCGATGAAATATCGAAATGAAACAGCTCCCTTTCTTAATTTCTGTCTTCTCGTCGGCTCGATTTCAAAGAATGTCGCCTCCAGCTCGTCGGAAAACGTTGAATGAATGCAATGAGAAGCTTGTCGAGCGGAAAGGATTAATTCCGAGCCGCGAATTCCTTTCGATTCGGCGAGAACACCGATGCCTTGACGAATAGAAGTAGTCGATCATTGGGAACTACGAAATTAGCGGATTCCGATCGTTCCACTGTCTCAGCTGACTCAGTCGTGTTTCCCTTACGATCGTGATATCATCGCCACGCCTGCATTATTTAACATTTTCTCCGGTAACCTGTTCACGAACACATCAACGATATTTTAATGCTACGTTCGTTCAGTAAAAGATGTATTCCTCTAGATTGAATTCCAATTCCGAGCGGCATTCTTTAGTGTGAAATCTAATCTAGTTGATATTTAACATCCGGTTACGATTATCAACAGGATTTTCAAGTCGAAGTTGAAAAATAACTGTCGCCTGACACTTGTTTGGCCAGGGACCGGGCCGCACAGCTTGCGCGTTGTGCGCTCGAAGAACAGTTTCCGCTGGCTAGTCGCGTTCAGTGATATTTCACGGTCCGCGAATATCCGGTCCCGCCTCGCAAGCTCTCGGGAACCGCTCGGAGATACGGAGATTACGTAACAACGGTTCCCTAAACAGATTTTTATCTGTACAGTCGGCCGACTAGTAGCGAGAGAACCACTCGCGCCGTATTTTTCCGAGCCACTTTTCGCCCGTCAATCTATCAATCAGTGATCCATTTTTCTGCGCCGCGGATTGGACCGGTTCTCGTCGGCACTTGAAGCTAAACGTCTGCCGAGAATTTTCACTCAAAAATTGTTCAATGTTAACCTCACCGCAAAAAGTAAGATCAGACTTTCTTCGCTTAACCCTGATTGCCGTTCAAGTTCCAATAACATTTCGTACAAGTTTGACTAATACTAGCCACCAAATAAACTAAAATGATTTCTTCCTTCAATTATTAAAGATACAGATTCTCTGAGTGACCACCGAATAAATTGATTTCACGCAAAGTAAATATAAATCAATCGAAGTAGCGGCATTTTTATAATTTCTGTAGAAGAATACAAAGATCAATTCGATTACACGTGTACATTTTCTCAGTGGCATATCGGAAACCGTCCGTTTCCGTTTCATTAAGGAAATTGTCCGTTCGATTCCGATGAGTGCTGATTCGGCGGTGGGCGTGTTGGAGGCTACCGGTATCTTTGTCTCGTGATCTTAATTGGCCATCGCGAAACGAGCATTCAGGTTCGTCGGAACACGCGGAAATCGATTCCGAAGTTCAGTTTCGAACGGCTCGCGCGGCCAGTTTTGTCACATTCCGACCTCGATCGATCGTAAAATTTTCGTTTTCTCTTTTTCCGGTCGGCCCGCGCGCACCGATTACGCAATCCCCGTTAACCGCGCATTGTTCGGGGGAACATGTGGCCGACTCTTGCCGTGAAACCCGCGAAAATCGCGGCCCGTCGACGGAGGGAAGGAAATCGGTATAGCCGGCGGTTTTTGCCGACCGCGAAGCCGGACGCGTTCGACCGGCGCGGAATAAAGGGAGATAATGGCCTGTGTATTTCGAGAGTAGACAGCGCGGGATTGATTTAGGAATAATAAATTACGGGAACAATGCCGACGGACACGTTGCCGGAGATACTGTTCGACAATTTTAATTCGGAGCGACTCGTTTCGCAACGAATGCGGCCGCGATATGGTTTTCGCGCAGTAAATACTGTCATGCGGACGAACGCAAGGGACTTTGGCCAGGGAAAGTTTCGGTGAACGGATTGATTTATTAATCGGTTAATAATTGTAATGAAT